TTTGGTAAAGGCTCTTTTGCCTAAATAGGAATGGGCCTTCTTAAAGTTGGAGCCCAATCATTTGTTAACCTACCATTCTCCAAGGCTATAAATATGCCCCTTAGGAGAATGAGTAGGTTAAGCTTTCCCAGATATTCTCATACCCTAGAGCCGCAGAGCCTATTCTTGTGTAAAGGTTTCTACGCTAAGTTTTCATATCATTCTGTAAAACCTTCTACACATCAATGGAAAGCTTCATCCTCATCTGATCACTCTTCCATACATATTCTAGAATAGAAAACAGGGACCTAACAGGGTGTGCGTGCACGTGTGGGTGTGTGTGCGTGTGCGTGTGTGGGTGTGTGTGCGTGTGCGTGCGTGTGTGCGTGCGTGTGCGTGTGTGCGTGCACGTGTGCGTGTGCGTGCGTGCGTGTGTGGGCGCGTTTTGTTCTTGAGAAAATTCCGTAACTAGGAGCTAAACATAACAAAAGTGCAAATCTAAGAGTTCTATGTTCCCTAAGAGTCAATAGGAGTAAAAAAAGATGAGTTGACAAAAATAACCTTAATGAAAAGCACACTTCAATTGTTAACTAATAAAATAGAAAAATTAATAAAAGCACACAATAAGACTGCTGCAACGTATGCAACCACCAGTTGCACAAATCACAGCCAACACCACCAATCCCTAAAGTGGCCGCCTCTGCCCGTCGCCACCGTCAGCCGCCACCGTCGAAATCCGCCGCCGCCGCCGGAACCCGTCGCCGCTGGACGCTGCCATCGGCATGCGCCGTCGCTGAACACCATCATAGCCTCTAGGGTCACGGTCAGCCATCTCAGTTGTCACCGCCGGATTATGTGTCACCGCCACAACATCTTACGTCACCTATCCTCTTCTGCACCCATCAGTATCGGTCTCAAATCTGAAAATTAAGAATGCTTTAGAGTGTCATCACCACATGAATGCCATCTTACCACTTTAATGTCATCTTAATGGCAATATTTGACATGTTTTTCATATATAAAAAGATATTTTCGCAATTAGTGCCATTTGTATGGCACTAACTCCTGTATTTGCCATCTTAAAAAAAGGCACTATATGCCATGAAAAAATATTTAGAATGACAATAATGGCAATTTCAGATTCAAACCAGAAAATAATCTTCAAAGTACAAAATATTGTTTGAAATCAATTGTAAAAAATTATATTCTTTGTTGTAAACTACTCCGTATAAATTAAATGTCAAAAGAACAAAGCTAAAAGAAAAATGAAAAAGAAAACAAAAAATCAATAAAAAAATTATATGAGTAAAAATTCATTATCGGTTAAGAAAATAAAATTCAAGCAAAAATCAAATAAATCCATTAGTCCTAAGTAAGAGCAAGCCATGAACTCCACGTTGCACAAAACAAAAATATATGACACTGATTGGACTAAAACAAGAGAAAAGAAAAAGGGGAAGAATCTCTACCACCTAATGATTTAAAAAAAGGAGAGTGGGAAGAAGAATTGAAGAAGAGGAAGAAGAACACTGAAGAGTAGGATATTAAAACTTACCTATGATAAACGCCGTCATCTGCCGGTAGCCAAAGTTGGAGAAGATGATTCACCATTCAAGTCTCAATCTGGAATTTGCCGGAGATGGAGATTGAGAGAATCAGACCTGGAAATTAAATGGATGAGAGAAATCATTGAGGAGAGAGGATGAGAGGATATGAATAGATAGAGGGGTGGGTGGGCTACAGCTTGCGTGAAGCATGACAAAGAAAAGTGAATAAAAAATAAAATAATCTAATTTGTGAACAGGGGTATAGTTGGCAAAAGAAACGACCCGGTCAGACACGAACTCTTATTTAGGAATAAATCAATAGGAACTCCTATTTTGGAACTATATCATTGTTTTACTCCCATTTAGGACAATCTTATGTTGATTTCCAATAGTTGTCTCGTCAACCCTAGGTTTCATATGATTACCTAAAATAGAAGTTATGATTTTTTCAAATTCTTTGAGTAGAAAGTCCACCCCATTAGTCATCGAACTTTGAAAGAAATCCTTGAGAGTGTCATTTGGAGGAGAATTATCAGGAGGAGTCAACGCCATAGGGTTATGAGCAATCTGGTCAACGCCGTATGTATGTATGTATGTATGTATGTATGTATGTATGTATGTATGTATGTATGTATGTATGTATGTATGTATGTATGTATGTATGTATGTATGTATGTATGTATGTATGTATGTATGTATGTGATGGATAGTCTACCCGGGGGGTGTCTTATCCGAGGGGTTATTACGGAATAACCTAGAGAGAAGTCAGAGCAAGCAAGTAGGAGAGAGAGGAGATTATTATTTATGAACTCGAGATGTTCTGGTCCCTTACAACGGGGAAATGGGGTGCTATTTATAGTAGTAATAAATGCGATGAAGGTACACGTGTCAACAATCTGACGGCCAAGGGGTCACCTCAATTGGGTGGCACTGGCATTCGCATGTGCACCACATTGAATGCGGTGGGTGGATGTGACGTCGCATTAAATGCGGTGGTTGCTTGTCTCCAAAGGGAATCTTCGATGATTGAGCTGTTGGCCGAAGGCTCACCCCGCAGCCGAGGGCTCTGTGTAGCCGAAGGCTTCCCTGATGCCGAGGGCACCTTCATGGCCGAAGGCCACCCTCATGTCCGAAGGCCACCCTCATGTCCGAAGGCCACCCTCATGGCCGAAGGCTACCCTCATGTCGAGGGCTCTCTTATGGCCGAAGGGTCCTGATTTCTGCAGTTTTCTCGCTGTGGCTTTGTATGCTCAAATCTGGCTGTCATGTGAGATTTGGAGCCCTCGGCCAAGGAGGCCGAAGGCACACATGTGTGCACCGTGGGTTTCTTTAAGCTTGGGCCGTTGTGGTCGGACCTTGTGTGCTCATTGGGCTCATTTGGGCCTGTGTAGGAGAAGTGGGAGTCTGTGGGCCGGGGGTCCCTGGGCCATATACTCCATCGGTATGTATGTATGTATGCATGCATGCATCTTAATCAATTACTATTATAAAACTACTCATATCTATTAGAGTCATAACAACTTTAATAATGCATAAGCTATTTAACATTTACATCTCTCTCTCTCTCTCTGGACATTTTGCTCTCTTATGTTCCTCCGCATGACATATCCCACAAGTTTGGACTTGTCCTTTTCTTGATGCTCTATGAGATATACTAGCAACAACTTTTGAACCACTTCTCGATCCTTTGGGCTCATTGGATGCTTTAACCCGATTCTTCTTTGGTCTACCAGGTAAGTTTGGCACTGGAGGAGGCAGAATAGCTTCATATTCCTCTACTCTCATGAAAGCTTTCCCGGAAAAAGGTTGCAAAGAGTGCTCATATTAGGGGTGAGCATTCAGTCGGTCGGTCAAATAACCGACCGATAATCGAATAACCGACCGACTTTTTTTGCTCCAATAACCGATCGAAAACCAATCGATAATTTTACTATAACCGACCGAAAAACGACAATTCGGTTTCGGTCAATAACCGAATAACCGACCATAACCGAACATATAGATTTTTGAAGGTTTTTTTTTTTTTCTAAAATCTGGAAGTTTTTTATAAACACTAGTAAAACACGAAGGATTCCAAATTGGATGCTTCATTCGTATCAGACAGACACTTGATTGAAGTATATATTGGAAATATTATAAAACAAATGTCCCAAGTGAAAAACTTTTACTAATATGTCACAAAATACCAAAATCCAAAGTTGTAAATCTACACCATTCTACCATACCATTGTCCATCGCATCAAAACATACGTCTCTTGTCAATATTACAAGTGAGATCAAAAGTAAATGCAGATACTTGCTATTGTTAAATAGTTTCTGTAATACTTGTATCTAACAAAGTTCCTGCAATAAGAAACGATGGAAAGCTAATCAAATACTCAGGTAACTCAGCATTCATCACTTCAAATATAACAGTATATTCACTTCTACATGACACAAGCTCACAACCATATAAAATTGGTTGTCTATGTCAATCTGTAATAAGTCATCACTAAACTAATGTCCATGTCCGCACTCAATTTTTTTTTTTTTAAATTACATATTCAGAAACTACGTAGTACATTAAAAGATTTACAGAAATCAGAACCGAATTTGATAAAAAATCGACATATAAAGTAAGAGATTAAGAGTGATTTGTGTTGACCAAATGAATATATAGGAACTTGTACAATCGTATCGGTATAGGGGGAGTACTAAGAAGTGGATACTAGACAAAAAATGAATTTTTTAATTCTAAAAAAATGTGACTAACAAGGTCATATATTTGGAAACCATGATATCACTGCTAAAGTTTCATGTCACTATCTGATTTTCATGCACTACCTGATTTTCATGTCACTAACAGATATCACTATCAAATTTTAATGTCACTGTCACCGTGAAATAAGTTACTGTGACGCCAGAAAATTTTCGAAAACTTATTTTGGCGAAACTGTAATACATCCTTCGGTGATCTAATTTCCGCTCAGTGAAACCGCTGCCCCGCTACCATGTGTGGTACACCGAAGGTCATAATTAGGGACCGGTCCCAAGCTGCTACTCCACTAGTCCCACCCTAGCATCTCCCTAGTCCCAACCCCACAATGACCAACCTGACCCCGCTCTAGTCCCAACCCCCACATGAATGACAATGTAGGAGTTTCATAGATTCATTGTGTGCTCCAATGCAAATCAAACATTGAATCACTTCTCTTCCAAACTATTTTAAATTTTATTAATACTCACTCATTTAATCTTTTCGATCGGGCTATGAAGATGTTTAGGATGAGCCATTCATATGTAATTCAAGGGTGTTTGGATTTATTTAAAAGTAGTTCGGATCCTTCAGAAAGCAGAAATAGATATTAGAGTATTTAGATGAAAGTTCAGAACCACTTTTACTCATAGAAACATATTTCAAGAAGCTGGGAAGATCATTTTTTCTAAAGAAAAAGTGAACGAGAAAAATGTCAACTATTATTTAACAGAAACCCTAACGGACACCACACATCCCAAAATTCGAAGACCTACCATTCTCTCTCAATTTTTTAATATACTCCTCCCACTGTCACTCTTGAATGGCTACTCATCTCAATTTCCAAACCCAAACCATCAAACCCAAACGACGCCGTTACCGTGAAACCACAATTACCGCCACTCCCCCCGCCGCCGATTCCCATCCCGCCACGCCTTCTTCTTCGGCTCACAATCAGCCCGACACCTTTCAGCCAAGTCAAAATCGCACAATCGACACTCCCACGGTTGTCTCCCCTGAAGATTCCCCGTGTCCGCCGCCCGTCTTCCCCCCCTCATCGCCGTCGCCCCACTTCATGGATTCCCCATCCACCGCTTCTTCCGCCGCCTATGGCGGTGCCACCCCCAGCTCGCCTGCCGGCTACGACGCTTTCCCTTCGTCTCTGAGCAAATTCAACTCTGCTCTCACTGCGGGGCTTCTTAATCCAATGTCGCCTCCTCCATCGGTGGAGAAGAACCGGCCCAGCCCGACGCTTTTCGAGATGATGGCGAGCGAGCCGGATTGCCTCCCCAGAGCGACGCCATCGACGGCTCCCCAGATTCAATACGGCGTCATTTCTACCCCAAACCATAAGCCCAATTCGGTGCCAGCGCTAGACAAACAGGGTTTGATGCAACAGAGGCTTTTGGATCTTTTGGCCTGTAGGAGTCCTGGAAACCAGTTCAATGACTTGGCCTCCAGTGACGTCAGGCTTACGTTGAGCTCAAAGGATGGCTTGAGCGTTTCGATGAACGTTCATAGGCAGATCCTGCTTGCCAACAGCCGTTTTTTTGCGGTGAAGCTGTCTGAGAAGTGGGCTAAGCAGCAGAAGACTTCATCAGCTACATATATTGTGGAGATTGCTGATTGTGATGACATTGAGATTTATATTGAAACATTGAGACTAATGTATTGCAAGGATTTGAGGAAGAAACTCATGAAAGAAGATGTTCCCAGAGTCCTTGGAATCTTAAAGGTAAGTTTTTTTTTTTGCTGAAAGTGTTCATACAAATTTACACCCTTCTAGTGTTCAATTTTCAACAAGCACGGTTTGTCCTGACAGGTATTCATGGCTGAAATAATTTATGGAATATAGGAATCAAAACCTGTTTTGTCTATGACATTCTATATGTGATCAATTCGGAATCTATGTAGGGTCCAACGGATATAGTTGATGATTATTTAAGAACAGTTGTTAAGCTAGAAACCTTTATCTTCCTCATTCATGGCGCTCCCTAAGCATAGATGTCCTGCTTTATGTTTAAATAGTGTTTGTCTGTATCTGAAACCAATGTTTTTAACTATTTTTGGTTGCATTGTATTCATGTTATGGTGTGTGTGACATCCTGTAGATGGTCCGGGGGGGGGGGGGTAGCGTCCTTGGCTATGATAGTGATGATTGATTATGCGCAGCAAGAGCAATATGCTAAAGCTTTTGTCCATGAGATTGTAGGTGTTCTGTTAAGCACATTAGCACATACATGTCTTCTGTTTTGCTTTAAAAATGTTTCTCTGTATCTAAAATTAATATTTTATAGCTCCACCTTTTAATTATATATATATATATATATATATATATATATATATATATATGTTTTTTTTTACTCCAGGGGGTCTGGGGGAGGGGGCCTGGGGGCCTGGAGTAATTAGGGTTGAAACTCACTCCATTGAGTTTCGAACCCTTATGTGCCTATAGGGTTTCGAACTCGAGACCTCCCACTTTTTAATTATATATGCTGAAGGCTTTGGAATTTTCATCTCAGTTTTCCTTCTTCTAAAGTTATAAGGTTGTGAAACCAAGGGAATCCAACATATAAAAGCAAGTATGTTTTTTTTTGCATAAATTTAGTGTTTTAATTTTATAAAATTAACTGACACTTAAATTTAATGCCACCGACCCCAAATAGTTGGGTCTAAGGTGCTGATGAATGTGATTTCACAAAAGAGTTCTAGTAAAAGATACTCCGTACTACATACTACGTATTTTGAGATGTATCCTAATAATAATGGTATCCTTTGTAGGTTTCGGCAGCAATCGGTTTTGATGCAGGGGTATTATCATGTTTGGAGTACTTAGAGGCAGCTCCATGGGCTGAAGACGAGGAAGAAAAGGTTTCATCTCTGTTGTCTGAGCTTCGCCTTGAAGGTGTTGGGGCTGGTGAAGTTTTAAAAAGGGTATCTTGTGACACTCTGGCTGGGACACAGGAAGGGTCAGGCAACGAGGAGGTTCTTCTTAAGCTGTTGCATGTTGTTCTTGAAGGAAAGGATGAGAAGGCAAGGAGAGAGATGAAAAGCTTAGTTTCCAAAATGTTACACGAAAGCTCATCACAAAGTGATTTAAAGAAGGAATCTCTATATTCAGCCTGTGATGCATGTTTGCAATTACTCCGCAGCCACTTTTTGAAGGCAGCAAAGGGTGACTTGCAAGATGTCAGTCAGGTATCTCGGCAAGCTGACAATCTGCACTGGGTTTTGGATATTTTGATAGATAGACATATTGCTGTTGACTTTTTGAAGACTTGGGCTTCTCAGTCTGACTTATCTGAGGCACATCATAAAGTTCCTGCTGTTCACAGACATGAGGTTAGCAGAGTGACTGCAAGGCTTTTTATTGGTATTGGGAAAGGTCAACTGTTAGCTTCCAGAGATACCAGATGCTTACTACTAAACACATGGTTAGTTCCATTCTTTGAGGATTTTGGATGGATGAGGAGGGGTTCTAGAGGTCTTGATCGTCATTTAATTGAAGACGGACTCAGCAGTACGATTTTAACTCTGCCTATGGCTCGGCAGCAGGAAATATTTATGACATGGTTTAATAGATTTTTGAACTCTGGGGATGACTGCCCAAACATTCAGAGAGGTTTTCAGATTTGGTGGAAAAGGGCTTTCTGGAAGCGCAATGGCGAGCCTGAGCGGCCCTCTCAAGTGCGCGTTGTGACTTCTGCAATTGAAAACAACTGAACTAATAGTGTGCATATTTTCCTTCTTTACTAATTGATGACAGTACTGATTAAGGTGAGAAACATTTCTCAGTGGATATGGTTTCTGTTATTTGATAAACTCCCACGCCATATGAAAAACAAAGTGTTCCTTCCAAATGATGGCATTCAAGATTGGACCATATTCACATATTGATAATTCCACGTTCAGTTGGCTTTGGAACCAGTGTTTAGACATGATAAAGGGTTCCTTTTTTCTTGACATCATATTAATACATCATCAACATAGATTCAACCCCTACGAAAGACAATCGGATATGGATATACATCATAACATTGTGATGGCAATGCTGGGAATCCTTGTTGTGCGAATCGGGAAGAATTGCATGTATGTTAGATATTTATGTGATATTTCATCTCTGGTGGATTTCTGCAGTGGGTAATATCTGTTCACGGTCATAATGACATAAATCATGGTATTGATTTTTTTTTAAAAATGTTTACTTTTGAGAATGGAGATTTTTGGGACTTGCTTTATCTTGTGCATTACTGCAGTTTTTGTCCTTTATTGTTTTGCACGTATGGTTGTCCTTGGGGCATACTCAAATTTGTCCATGACAATATCAGCTTATCGGATGTTACTCTTTTGCTAGTATCCAACAGCTAGGTTGAAGTGAATTTTTGAAACCAGCAAGCAAATAATCAAAATAGGTGAGTAAATGTTGAAAGAACATTTACCAAATTTCATCGATCTTAAAACAAAATTACAAGTCGATCGGGAGGGTATCAGTTAGTGATGGACCCGGGCCGAGCCGGGCCTGGGCCGGGCCAAGGCCCGGTCGGGCCTCGGGTCTGGTATAGGTTGGCCTGGGACCGGCCCGGGCTATGGCCGGTTCCGGATCGGGCCGGGCCACCCGGCCGGGTCACGGGTCGGGCCACTCGCCGGGCCGGGCCGGTTCAGTATATTTTTCTTTTTAAATAATTATATATTATACAAATTCCTATTAAAAAAAAAGTTCAAGTGCATTTATTTGAAATAGGAACTACATTTGACAATTGAGAAAAAAATAACAATACGAAATATATTTTCTAATAAATATCAATTGGGATTTCCGCCGACGTTGGTTGTTGTTTTCCCTTTGTCACATGACTTCATATGTTTTATTGGCATCCCGTATCCGTGTGAACGCCCCAAGCAACACTCTTTCTGCACCACTTGCAAGTTGCCCACCACAGTCCGGTCTTCGGGTCCTTCCACTTATCAAAATTGTTTTGCATAAGGAAAGTTGTACTTTCCATCTTTAAAATGGTATATGTATAAGTAGGAATGTAGGATAATAAGAGAAGATGAAGATGGAGAAGAGTTGTAGAAGAGTTGGAGAAGAGGTGTAGAAAAATGTTAGAAAATAGATGTATTTAGGGAAAAGGTGCAAATAAGCCCATGTACTAAACAAAAAAGGTCAAATAAGCCCTTATTTAGGAGGTTCTGTCTGGCCGTCGTCATTTGGGGTGGTTCCCGGTGGAATTTTTTGATGATTTTTTTTTAATCATTTTATTCATCAAGTCTAGTTTACTCATACCAAATTTCAGCTAAAACTTCGATCGGGAAGGCATTCAAATGAATTCTTGAAAATAACTGCGCAGTTAGAAGCACAGTTATCTTCAAGAATTCATTTCTTTCATTTCTTCAAGAATTCTTGTAAAATGTAACAAGAATACTAATGAACTAATTAACTAGTATAATGAAAAATGTAACAAGAATGCTAATGAACTAATTAACTAGTATAATGAAAAATGTAACAAGAATGCTAATGAACTAATTAACTAGTATAATGAAAAATGTAACAAGAATGCTAATGAACTAATTAACTAGTATAATGAAAAATGTAACAAGAATGCTAATGAACTAATTAACTAGTATAATGAAAAATGTAACAAGAATGCTAATGAACTAATTAACTAGTATAATGAAAAATGTAACAAGAATACTAATTAACTAATTAACTAGTATAATGAAAAATGTAACAAGAATACTAATTAACTAATTAACTTGTATAATACTAGTTATAGTAACTAATATATAATATAATGTTTATAGTATATAATATATAAGTATACTACTATAAGATGAGTAATACACTTATATTTTATACTTTAATATATAAACTATATATTAAGTAGATGTAGAATGTATGTATTAACTATTAAGTGGATATAATAAATGTATAAGAATTAAATATTAGAGTATAATGGAGAATTGGAGATTGGAGAATAAGAAAATAAGTATATATGAAATATAAGTAGAGAAGTAGATATTATTATGTATTAAGTATATAGTAATAGTTTATAAAGTATATTTAATACTTTAATATATAAAGTATATATTAAGTAGATGTAGTATGTATATATGTATGTATGTATTAAGAGATATAAGTAGAGATTAAGTAGATAAGAAATATAAGTAATATATTATATGTATTTATAAGTAGATAATTAATATATAAGTAGATATAATAATTGTATAAGTATTAAATAGTAAAATAAAATATAATGGAGAATAAGAGAATTTGAGAAGATGAATATGGAGATGAGTAGAGAGTAGGATTTAGGAAGAGTTGGAGAAGAGGTGTGAAAAAATGTTTAAAATTAGGAGTATTTATAGTTTTTTTTTACCCCACCCCCCCCACCCCCCAAAGACCCCGGACCCCCCTGGTACCCACCCAACGGCTATATAGCCGTTTGGGAAGTGGGTCAAGGGGTCAAAAGGTTTTTTTAATTTAAAAGGAATTATTTTTATACAAAATGGACCGTTAGGCCCGGGCCCGGGCCCGACCCGGCCGGGCCGGGCCGCCAAAAACTACACCCGAGACCGGACCCGCCACCCCCACCGGTTCGGTGCCCGAACCGGACCCGGACCCGAGAACCGGGCCGGTTCTGGGCCCGCACAGTAACGGGCCGGGCCGGTCTCGGGCCGGGCGGCCCGAATCGGGTCCACCACTAGTATCAGTGTTGTCAATCCCAGATAGCGGAGCGGAGCGGCCAGCCCCAAAAACGCTATAGCGGTATAGCGGAAAGCGGGATGACCGCTATTTAGGCTACTTTCAAATATAATACATAAGTAATTACTAGAAGCATATATAATACATTACATACACAATTCAAGTTCAAAAAGTAGATATATGCCAATGAAGCTTCCAATTTTCAAACATATTAAGTCTTAACATTCACAAATCCTAAATTACTTAGCAATACTCTTTAAGTCTTTAGCTTCATACCAAAACATAAGATGCTATCATGCTATTAATGATTAAAACATCTTGAATCAAAAACAAGGTTCTAGTTTAAGAGTTTAAGCCTTGATATATTAACAGTCAAAAAATTTAGATCCAACTTGTAAGCCCTTTGAATTCATCATTCACCACTCCTCCTCATCAAATTCTTCTTCTTCTTCCAACTCTATCTCATCTTCATTGTCATTTTCACTACTAGAGCAATCATAAAGTTCTTCCTCCACATTGGTCTGCTATGTCACTTCAACATGTTCTATATCTTCTATTGAGCAGCCCGTCCCTCTAGAGTTTGTGGCTCCTCTAGACCTTGTAGCTCCTCTAGAGCTTGTACCTCTTTCACTTGTTTTGCTTTGCTGCCTAGTTTTTATCCAGGGCTCATTCACACCAGTTAGATCAGCAACATCTCCCCAAGTGAAGTTGGCATCATCATTGAAAACCAAATCATCCTCGGCATCCTCTCCATCTCCCCCCCATTACCCCCACCAACCACTCATTGCTACCATCAATATCATTTAGACGAATTGGATCGATCAAATCACGGCTATCAAATCGCTCCTTAAGATCTTGGTTATATTTAATATAAACCAAATCTTGCAACCTTTGATGCTCAAGCCTATTTCTCTTCTTCGAATGAATCTATTTTATAAATTGATATTAAAAAAAATGTTAGTCTAGACTCCAGAACAAAAACAAAAACAGCACACTAAATCACTAATACACTATATGTTGTTGTTAGAAGTTTAAAAAATGTAATAATAACATACATGCTCAAATGTACTCCAATTGCGCTCACATCCCAATGAGCTACAAGTCAAACTTAAGATCTTTATGGCAAGCCTTTGAAGATTTGGTGTATGTGATCCATAGTTCCTCCACCATTCACCTTTAAATGGAAATAAATATTAAACATTCTATTAGGGCTGCTTATTTAAAGAAAAAAGAATAAGCTGCCTTAACTTACCAGGACCAAGAGTGTCTCTTTGCCTTACTGTCAGCTTCAACCCAAAGAGACCTTCAGCTCTCTTATAAGCATTCAACTCACTTGAAATTTTATCTTCAATTTCTTCACATTCACTAAGCCTTTCAATGCACGCGTAAAGCCCTTGCATAACCTCATTGTCCAGGTCCATTCTTGGGTTCTTGTAGTAGAAAGAAGGGTTCAAATAATGACCAGCGGCACGCAATGGATGATGGAGTTGAGTTTCCCATCGTAAATCAATGATTTCAAATATTTTTTGTATCTCCTTTCATTTCCTTGAAAAGAACTCTGAATTGCTTCCTTGGCTCGATCCATTGATTCATAAATGTATCCCATTGCGGGTTTTTTCTCATGATCGGCTAGCCTTAGAACGTGCACAAGAGGGCCCATTACTTTCAGAATATAAACAACATCATTCCAGAATGTATGATTAAGGATTATGTCCAGAACTCTCTTCGCATTTCGATCTTTGGAAACATTAGTCTTTTTCCATTCATCGGAAGTAAACATGTTTCTAAGCTTTGTTCTTTGAGTATGCGGTCGTTGCAAGGTAAGGAATATAATGACGTAGCAAACCTTGTAATACCACGTCTAAGCAATTCCATCTTGTTGGTGAACTTTCTTATCATGTTGAGAGCAATGGTGTGGTTATAGATGAAATCCACTACACAAATACCTTTTCTTATTGTTGCTTTAATTGTCGGCAACTTCCCAATGTCCTCAAGCATCAAGTCTACGCAATGGGCAGCACATGGTGTCCAAAATAAATGCTTTCTCTTCACTTGTAGTAGTAGTTTTCCTAACACAGAAATTGATAAACTCAGTTATGGCAGCATACTTACATAATTGAAACTCAAAAAAATAAATTTAAAATAAAGTTATATTGAACTAATAAATATTACCCGCAAGAACATAGTTACTTCCATTGTCGGTGATCACTTGCACCACATTTTCTTCATCAATGGTCTCAACAAATTGATCAAGAAGCTCAAATAATTTCTCACTAGTTTTTGTGTATTCAGAACCATCAACACTCTTCATAAACATTGATCCTCTTGGGCAATTCACCAAGAAATTAATCAATGTTCTATTTTTCCTATCTGTCCATCCATCCGACATAACCGAGCATCCATATTGTGCACGTTCCTCTTCATGGCCCTTTAAGAGTTCCTTAGTGTATTCCAATTCTTTTTTAAGAAGTGGAACTCTACACTCATGGTAGCTTGGAGGCTTTAAATGAGGACCATAATTTCCAATGGCCTCAACCATCAATTTGACACTTTTTGATTTCACAACATTAAAAGCAATTCCATTTCTGCATAGGAATCTTTCAATATATTGAATGGTTCTGGCCCTAGCTTCCTTGTCACA